TGCATCAAATGGTGTGTGAATAATTCAGAGTACAGTGCGAACCAGACAAATGGAGTTCAGGTTAAAGCACAGAACATGGGCCTCGGCTAAGAACAATTGTTCTGATGTTCTAAATGGTCACTGACTAATCACAGGGAATACAATGTCAAACAATGCTAATGATACTCTTTGTATTCTCTGTGATGTGTTTTTTGTTTTCTGAGCAGAGCCGTACCTTGAGTGGTTCTTTGGCTCTCAAATCGTTTTGGGGATTTTACAAATAGCGTGGTAAAATAGCACTTCTCTGTATTTTATTGAATACATTTACACAGTTATGACATTTAATATCAACTCATGATTTCATTAGTAAATTACTACCTAGTGCTAAACACAATAAAGTAATACAATTATTTCTCTATTTATCTTGGAATCTATGTGACTTTAGTGCGTTTAGTTTAAATTGTAAAAAATGTAAACGCACGATAACTGTCCAATGCTCAGAGCAACTTTCTCCTCATTTAAAATTCTCCCAAGTCCTCGTCTGATGGACGTTTGATGGGTTTTACATGTCTCTCTGCAGGAGAGGAGATTGAGAGCTGTCAATCTGTTTAGTTTAATATTTCCTGGATTCTTGGAGATCGAGAGAAGGTGCACTCAGTGACAGGCCAAGAACACAATCTTTCGCTTGCAGACATGACCGGTTTGTGTTTGATTGGATATAATATTCTGTGAACAATCTGTAGCTGCAATTTTGCTCTCTCGCTCTGGAAAGGTTAACGTAGCTATCCAATATGGGTAAAAGCTGGGAAAATAGGAGGTAAATGGTTTGACAAAATATTTGTGGATTCATCATGTGCTGTCTACAGTGCTCAATTAAATGTATAGTAAGTATGACTGATCTCGCTTTGTTAGGGATAAATAAGTGAAAGACTTCTAATTCCTGAGTTCATTTTTCAGTTGCAGAACACAGCTATTTTGTTTAGGCAAACTTAGATAAACTGAGGATGATTTAGTAAATTGGAACTTTCTCCAACTTTAAAAGGTAATTGTCAATGTCAAGTCAGTGATGCTGGAGATAATGTCCAACTAGGCGATTTTCCCTCTTGGCTATGTTGGACTCAAGTTTGCTATTTTGTTGCTAATTTTCCATGATCAGCTATTTTGTGAATAAAATCTAAGCGTGTGTTGGTGAGTCCAATGATAGAAGAGGGGGAGATATTGATTTATTTAAAACAGTTTGTGCATCAAGTATAATTTTATTGAAGGTCAAACAACACATTACAGAGACAGAACAATGGTGTTACATAGTGGAAAGTAAAATAAATAATAAAAAAACAAAAATGAAAGATAGAAAAAAATAAACACAGAAAAACCATTGTATTTTAATTTTAATGTTTTTAGTGTCAGTCAGTTTTTAATGTGATCTTTTGTGCTGTTTTTGGAGCTGCAATCCTGTTGAAGGTATGATTTTTGTTATGTGTAAAACTCCAGGATATTCCACATTTTAGGTATAACGAGTGGAAGCAAATCAATGCAATCTCAAAATGAAACACCCTATTGTGAAAACAGATTTTAGAACTGATGAGCTACAAAATATAACACATGTAAATATATGTTTCTTCTTTTTAATGAATAAAACATTTTATCAAAAACTTCCTGTACCAAGGATACACAGGCTACAATCTATATTTTACTTTAAATCTGCTTTATGGTTTTCAATTTTTTTTTTTTAATACTAGCATGGGCTGGCTGTCTGCATGTCTGTCCACCCATCGGTCTGTATATCTATCTATCGATTAGTCAGTCTGTCTGTCTATTAGTCTGTTTGTCTATTTATCTGTGTCTCTGACTGTTTATCTATCCATCCACCCATCCATCCATCCATCCATCCAAATAGCTATACCTTATCTGTCTGCCTAGTGATCTATATTTTATTAAGCAGAAAACAATTATTTTCCCAGTCAATGTGTTTTGGTGTGCCTACAGAATGAGGAGAACTGTTTACATTGAACCTGCAATAATAAGGATATTAAACTACCATTAAATTATGAGCAATCACAAACTGACAGCTGTGACGTCTAAAGTCAACAAGTCCAGGAAATCTATCATTTTATCAATCGTGAACTCAAACTGTCTGTTAAAAAAAGAAAACTGACCTTTTTAGTAATATTATGAAAAATTGAGCTCTGTGACATCCTTCAACTTGTATTTAATATTTGCTCTGTCAGTCTTCCTTTTACTTTGTATTATAAAAGGCGTCCAGCAGTACGCCAGGAGAAGAGGTTCTGTGGATTATAAAGTAATGGGTGCGCTGTGTTCGGAGGCAATTTCCTGCAGGATAACAGCGGGCGAGCAGGTAGCGTTAGGAAGGATATCATAACACTTCGTTCTGAAAGCTAATGCATTATTTCAGGTGTAACCAATGACTGTGATTCATGTACAAATATTAAAATGGTTCCGACGGTTTTAAACAAAAACAATGATGCCCTCATACCCCAATATATACATAGAGTTTTTTTTTTATCTCAGCACAAGTTGAATTACACTCAAATTCTATCATTGTACTGGGCAGACGCCATGAAGGCAATTCACAGAGGGCACAACTGCTCGGTATATAGTTGGGCATTTGTTTGGCATAAAAGGTTGTGTTATAAATCTGTAGATAAGTGGCTTTGATATCGCAGTAGTAAATGCGGTGTGTTCTCTTACGTTTAGTATTTTTTTACCACTAGAGGAACGGTTTGTCCAGTCATCAGATATTGGTAAGATATTATAAAGCTGGCATATGAAATGTCTCTGCATTCCATTTTTTAATGTTAAATATTTTTTTAGTAAAATCTAATTCTATATTTTGTTTATGTAAAACAATTGTTTTTTTCTGTACCCATTTTTAATGTTATATTCATGAAAAGGTATTTATCTTAACCCCTTAAGGACACATGACATGTGTGACATGTCATGATTCCCTTTTATTCCAGACATTTGGTCCTTAAGGGGTTAAATGTGTTTATGGGGATCTCTTCCTGGTTCTACTGATGTTCAACCTGCTTGATGGGTCCGATTAGCTCAGCCATGACTGATGGTTGAGGCTATAAACAATCAGGAAGTAGAATATTAGGCCCACAAACAGGGCCGAACTGGCCCACCAGGATACCGGGAAATTTCCCGGTGGTCCGTCGGCACCTGGGGCTGGGCAGACACCTGGGTGTGCTGGCGGCTGCAGGGGGAGGTCTGCTGGTGGCCGCAGGGGGAGCTGTTCTGTATCTGCTCCCCAGCGCGCAGCTTAATGAGACTGGGGCCGGAATATGACGTCATATTCCGACCCCAGTCTCATTAAGCTGCGCGCTGGGGCGGGGGAGCAGAGACAGAACAGCTCCCCCTGCGGCCACCAGCAGACCTCCCCCTGCAGCTTTTTTCTCCCGACGCCGTGCTGGTCTCCCCTCGACTGGCCCTGCCTCTATGGCTGAGATCATCAAGCTTGATGATCTCAGCCAATCCAAGGCTCTGCCATAGGATTGGCTGCAAAGGCCCTGAATGTAGGTGCTGCACACTGTGCAATCACACTGTGCAGCACTGACACAGGAAGTACCTCTAGTGACTGTCTGAGTGACTGTCACTAGAGGTGTCACTAGGAAGCAATGTAAACACTGCCTTTTCTCGGAAAAGTCAGTGTTTACATTGAAAAGCTTGCAGGGACAGGCTATAGACACCAGAACCACTACATTAACCTATGTGTGTGTGTGTGCGCGCCTGCTAGTGAGTGAGCTTGCTTGCGTGTGTGTGTGTGCCTGCTAGTGAGTGAGTGAGCTTGTGTTTTTATGACAATGAGCTTCTGTATATCAGTGACATTGTTTGTCTATGAGGCTGTGAATCAATGAGCTTGTGTGTGTCAGTGAGATTGTCTGTGTCTGCATGTGAGTATGCTTACTGTATAATTAAACGTTTTACTCTGAAAGGACCAATATTATATATTAGAAAAAGCAATACATATATATATATATATATATATATATATTACTCAACCATCTGGGGTGGCAAGACATTGCCTTACATATTACATACGGCAATATATGGCGCAATGACTTATGGGGCTGGCAAAGATTTTTTTTCCAGGGCTGCTTTGTATCCCCAGTCCGGCGCCTGCCCACAAATATATTGTTTTTTTTTTTTTTTCATTACATTTGTTTCTGGGTAACATGCTAACAGGTAAGTTCATGAAAGAAATGGAAGGTGTTTATTATGATGAAAAATCAGAAATGCAATTTTAAATGATGTGATAATAATATAGAAACAAGTCTTTCTCGTGGCCCTGCACACGAGCAGAACTGTACAAAGTGATCGAAGTTAATTGAGATTCCACCTGCAGCGAGAGAGTCTTCTTTATGGTAAGAACAGGGAATTCGATCCCTAGAGAAGACGTACTGTCCCATTTAATAGATACTGTTATATAGATGTATGTTAGCAAAGCAGAAACAATGACAGGAGATAAATTATATAAATGTTATTAATAATAGTATTCTTGTTGTGGGGAGAAATCTAATAGTCATGTTGAAATTATAAAGTTGTTTTTTTTCGGAGTGGGAAAACAATTTGGCCCTGGAATTTAGAGGCCGAGCAGCCCACTAGGAGCGGGTGGGTACAAAGAAGGGTTGTAAACATGTAAACATGTTAGTTTGCTGTCCCTCCAGGGCTTATAATGCTGTAGAGCTCTTGCGTGGAAACAATGCTCTGTAATTTATCACAGCACAAGCAAATGTAATCACACAATTACAGTGAATGTGTTGGTGACTACGCATGTGCGTAGTGGCGATTGTTTTTGTTGTACTGTGTGTAAAGCAGTCTGTATGTGGTGTACTATGTGTGATTAGGAACTGTAATGTTTATGTAATTCCAATGGCTGTAAAGTTTGTGCATCTAGGGGTTGTAGAGACTGTGTGTATGTCTAGGGGTTGTGAAGAGAGAAAGCATGTGTGTGCATGGGGTGTAGTGTTTCTAGAGCGTGTACTATGTGTACAGGGGTAGTGTGCGTGTGCATACAGGGGAAGTCATGCGTATGTTAATGAATATGGGCTGTGTTTGTATAGGGGATGTATATACATTGTAATTAAGAGATCTAAATTTTATTCATTTGGCTTCACTGCATTCTGTGCTTGAAATATCATTGTTTTATTCATTGTCTGTTTTTAAGTACAGTTTCAAACAAACATGCAAAATCAACAGACACAGACACACAAGCACACACACTTTATACAGCCATTATTTGTTTGTTAATGAAGTGCCAACTGATAAAAAAAAAATAAAAAAAAAAATTGCTATCATAAACCAGCTTCTTTGCATTTTGGCTTACCACCAACTTGTAATATTTTCTGAAAATAAAAATCCTTTTTTTTTAAATGATGGTGTCATTTGAAAACGTTTCAACATTTCTAGTACTGAAACCATCTGTGCAGCAGAGTGCTATATTACAAGACGGGAGCACTCTCAATCCTATTTATAATAGAAAACATGTTATCAGTGTGTGCATCTCAGAATACACATGCTGAAGTAAACAAATAGCAATGTCTTAAATAAACGAGATCTTTCCTAGGGGTTTGTGAAGGTCCTGTAGGGTTGTCATGGTTTCACCACCCCTCAGGTTGCTTGTGTGTGGTTTCTCTCCTCTTCTCTGGGCTGCTATTTTGGCATCCACCATGATCCTTGGTCCCATGACGGTTGGAGCAACCTGCTGTTGAGAAATTGAAGAAGAATTGTGGACAGGTTTGGTCTGCTCATATGGTCTGGTAATGCACAAAAAAACAACAACAGTTAGATATCCCTAGATCACCAACCACCAGAGATCTTCTTCCTAAGAGTCTCTGTGTCTGGGAGACTAGGCGCAGGAAAAAAGGGACTGTCCCTTTGTCTCCCACACACAGGAAAGCCCGTCTGCAGGAAAAGAGCCCACGAAACTCACCAGTGCCCCAAAAGTGCCCACACAAATCTCAGGAACACTAGACCCCGCTCGTGAGGTCCTGGTGTGAAACCCAGACAAGGGAAGCGTCTCCTTTTGGGGTACTAATGCTCCCCCTGGCTGGCGTTCGTCTATAAGAATGGAGGCAAACCAAGGGGAGCACTCATTGTACTTCTCTTGTAGTTTCACACCTATGTTGCGAGTGCAAACTTTTTGATTAATTGGTGTGAACGTTCTAATGGGGCACCGGGGAGGTCCTCGTTCGGGAGATGAACGAGTCGGGAAACAATCCACGAATGCTCCACTGGTGGCTTTCGCCTGTACGAATTGCAGTTTGTGGTTTGACACTTATGTTGCGAAGTGTGAACGTTCTAACCCAGTGTTCTAAATGGATTATTGGTGTGGTCCTCATTGGGGAGGCGAATGGCTTCCCTTTGTGGAGGCACTCCCGAACGGGGAGCGGACACAAAACACAAAAATACAGGGGAAACGCATGAAAAGAAAAGGAAAATCCACGAACAGGCAGCAGTTCCGCCTCAGGACAGTGTAAGAAAACAAAAATAAATTTAAGGTTCCAAGGGAAATTGAACAACAGGCTGGACTTGGAGTGCAATGTCACGAAAAATAATGAGCACAGTTCACATTGAATGTTTATCAGATTGCTATGTGCTATGAGGATGCATAAACTAGGAAATCGTTTTGGTGTTCTTATAATGGAGTAATGAGGGCATCGGTGCCATTTTGACTTGTTTAGACTGACTATGACACAGGATTGATGCAATACATCATGTTACATGTGTCTTTCCAATTCAGCTTGCTTGAGTACCTGCAATAATCCAGCATCAATTTGTAAACTGTACAGTGTGAAGAAAACAAGCATGTACGGAGCTGGTGTCAAAACCCTGGAGATACAATGTCACTTGGCAATGATCCTACTGGCACAAAATATGTATTTTTCTATAAATGCTTGTGTGTGATGTATGCTCTGTATAATGGATTTAACATTACATATTTTTGACAGCCAATCATTTTTAAAATGTTTAATTAGGAGCGATACCAATACCTTTTATTTGCATTTCGGGTTTTTTCCAGATCTGAGGGCATGTGATAATTTTTTTTAGGATTTCGACATAGTCTATCTCTGTCTGTGATACAGAGCTGGGAATAATTTTAGAAAGCACAGGTTCATATCATTATTTTACAGAAAGAGAGGGAACGTGAGTTTATCATTTTAGGATTATTGTTGTAAAATAATTAACACTGTATATGTATTAGTGATTACAGAAAATAGTTTTGTTTTTGAATTGGGATTTTTCTTTCCAATGAATCTGAATAAAGTTTAAAGCAGCCATGATATCCCCCCATTCCCCATTATAAATGTGTATACCATTAAGACAGAATCTTTATAAAATACTAATTTTGACTAATATAAAATAGGGATTTCACTGAATTTCAAACCCAGTCAAGAGATCCACAGAGTAGAGATTACTTTGTCTCTGTATATTTCCCCCACCTGACTTTATCAGACATGGGTGGAGCTGCAGTGTCAGTCCCGAGCAGGGAATTGGCTTTGTCTATGGCGGATCCTGCGGTCTTGCGGGATCCTCAATACACCTCAATGCTGTACTCTCGCACATGCTGAAAAGGAACGCTAGAATAATATGGCCGCGCCCTCGAGGGATAGGTTCAGGTAAATAAATCTCACCTTTACCTGGCCCATCCCACAGCCACCAGACCCACAGAGGCGTGGTCACTATTGGCAAATTGCTTCTTTAAAAATATTAATTTATGATGATTAACTTTTTTTTTACCTATTTTGTATCAAGAAGTACAGACTTAAAAGAACATATGTCTTCCACTTGCAACTTTTATTATTAATATATGTGAACAGAAGTATTATTTCAATAATGTGCGAAGATTTATCTGTTACTCATTCTCCATATTGTGTTGCATTCGCTGTCTGATTTATACCTGAAGCTTTTAATATCTTACCTAGGCAGTCGAGGAAGTAAGCAGGTTTCTGTTCACTGAAGCAGAATCTTTGTCTGTGGAAAGTGACACACAGATATGAAGAGATTTGAAATCATTTCAGGAACCAAGTGGTAGCAAAGTGTCTGCCAGTTTTTGAAAAGCCCTAAGGGCTCCTGAATGTCAGATTGAGCTGACTTTTTGCTTTCAAAATGCCAGTATGATAAATATGACTGCACCAACTCAAATAGCATCTTACACTAACTCCAGAGAAAGAGACTCTTAATTTTCATAGATAGCAGTTTTATCACTGTGCTGCAGCACAGCTTTTCATTCTGCATATTTGCCTCTTGCCCCCTTAATGGAAGGGTGATTGCTGGGGAGCAGGAGCTCATCTGGTGAAATGTAATATCGAGCCAGCCTCTGCATTTCATACAATGTTTCTCCAATCTACAATAAACTGTGTCCATGCTATAGAAGGAATTTCAGAATCCACGTTTAATCTCAAATGTCATTTTACAGGAACTTTATCAAATGATCACAATGGACATTTGCACAGCTCATGAGAGAAATGGGGCAATTCTATCAGGTCATTTTTCAGGACCGATAATAAAAGTTCTACGTCTGTCTATCATATCACAAGGGATAATGATATCTATCATTTTTTTTTTTAATATCGTGCATATGACTCTTTTTATAAAAAATTTTTTAATCTATATTATTGAAAAAGTTTTATTAAGACAATCAGTATGCATCTTTGCAGGTGATAATCAAGGTATTGTAACAGTAAAGATGCATAGAAAATGTATCTTCTTTTTAAGTTTGTCTTGGGGTATAGATGGTTTTATTCATTAACCATTTTATCTTTCCCAGTAGGTCAAAAGTGTGATAAAAGGCTGCATTGATTCTGCCAGCTATATAACCTATGCCCCAGAGGTTAGGAGAGTAAACACATTTGGTGCATCAACCAAGTGAGCTCCAATTTTCGCAGTGTGTCTTTTTCACAATGTGCATTTTGTTGTCAGGAGTGAAAATGCTGTCAATATGTTCAGGATTTTAATTGTCCTCTCAGCCCAAAACATTGCTAAACCTTCTGGGATTCACTACCCTGAGTATCTGATTTACACTAACACTATATCCCATCTCATGGGACACATCTGTGTGTCACTAACTCGCTGACTATATCACTTAACCCCTTAATGCCATTACGGCGTTCTATGCCGTCCCGGTTTAATTGGGCTTTAAAGCCGTTGCAGCGGCATAGAACGCAGTAACGGCTTTGAGCCCTGAGCGCCCGGTATACTTACCTACCCGGCGCTCCACTTCGGGAGGACTGCCTCACAGCCCAGGCAGCCCTCCCATGGCAAAAGAAGACCCCGGGGGCCATGTGATCGCTCTCAAAGAGCGATCACATGGCCCCCTATAGCTGGCTGTGGATCTGCCAGCAGGGGCACTGTCTGAAATGTCAGACAGTCCCCCTGCTGGTGGGAAAGTAAAAAAAAAAAATTTAAACATGTTATAAAATAAAATAAATATATTTATAAACATATAATATATGTATATATATTAAATATATAATATATACATTTTATATATATGTAACGTCATACAAAGTGTATTTTAATATTAATATAAGTACATATATTAGTATTAAAATACACTTAGAATGACGTTACATATATATAAATGTATATATATTATATATATAATAGATATATACACATATAATTACAATAATAAATAAATAAAATAATAAAACTAATAAATAAAATATTGAAACAAAATTTTATATAAATTATATATTCATATGTAATTTAATTCTAACTGTATTTTGTTATTAATATATATATATATTGGTAACAAAATACACTTAGAATGACATTTTATATAAAGATATATATATATATATATATATATATATATATAAAAAATACAAATATCCGCAAATATATATATATATAGACACAGGGAGTGCAGAATTATTAGGCAAGTTGTATTTTTGAGGATTAATTTTATTATTGAACAACAACCATGTTCTCAATGAACCCAAAAAACTCATTAATATCAAAGCTGAATATTTTTGGAAGTAGTTTTTAGTTTGTTTTTAGTTTTAGCTATGTTAGGGGGATATCTGTGTGTGCAGGTGACTATTACTGTGCATAATTATTAGGCAACTTAACAAAAAACAAATATATACCCATTTCAATTATTTATTATTACCAGTGAAACCAATATAACATCTCAACATTCACAAATATACATTTCTGACATTCAAAAACAAAACAAAAACAAATCAGTGACCAATATAGCCACCTTTCTTTGCAAGGACACT